AATCATCAGAGTTATCTTTCTTAAATAACTTTACCTTTACCATATAGCATGATCCAAAATGCATTTTCCTATTTCAAAACTTAAACTGTAGGTAATAATCATAAAAAAAATGCAGTTTACAGCGTCTTGTAGCACATTTCAAAGAGTTTCTGTATCATGTTGGAAGATTCCCACACATACAGCATTGTAGGCTTTCTGCACATTATTCTGTATTCAGTTTGATCAAATATAGAGGCTGTGCTGATAAATGTGCATTATCTGAAACACTGGACAGGTTAGCACATTATTGATTCATGTGACTCATTAATTTAATTACCTTGTTCATTGTGTTGTGACTGAGGTTTATTGTGGTTTTCCACAGTTTGTTCAGATGAATGCCAAGACACAGTAATAAATTATGCCATGTATTCTTCCTCTCCCTTCTCTCATAAATCCTCGTTCTTGAGGATGCTGTTAGACAATTACAAAGTTACGGAATAATAACTCAGTTCAACGGCTATACATTTTCAGGATGTAGCCTTGTTGATGTTTTTCTTGAAGAGTATGTCATCAGATGTTACTTAAAAAACTCCACTCCACATTATTGGAATGAGAAAAGTGAAGACTATACATATATTACATTTCATGTGTGCGAATGAATCTCCTTGAATTGTACTACAAAATATTGGAGATTACATACCTCTCATTCATACCCCATACAAGCTAATGTTCCAGGTATAATTTGACAAAGGGTTAAATAGGAAAGATAATTTTGGAACATACAGTATTAGATCATATGCACGATAATTATTACACTTCATGTTTCAGGCCATTGATGAAGGAATTGAGGAGGAGGATGAAGAAGAAAGAAAACCTGCAAGAAAGAAGTTCCGCAAGCGGAAGCGGAAAGATGAGGATGATCCTGGAAGTGGGAGCAGTGCAACAGTGGTAGGACCACCTGTTGTGATGGTAGTAGAGCAGTCCCATGTCAAGAAACGACGTGGGAGGCCTCCCCTTGAAAAGGGATCTATGTTGAATAGCAAAATAAAAAAACAAATGCGGAAACTCGTGAACATTGTGATTAAGTACACTGATCGGTAAGTTCTGATTTCTTGCTGTTAGGATTGGTATAGTGTTCATAGGCTTTTTAGCAGAAGTTTGTGATGTAAAATTATGGTACCAATTACCCATTACTCACAAGTCAGGATAAGCTACTGAGGAGCGCTTGAAATTAAGTGGTCATGTACGTGTTTCAGTGATGGTCGAACACTGAGTGGACCCTTTATGAAGCTACCTTCCAAGCAGGAGCTCCCAGGCTATTATAACATTATAAAGAGGCCCATTGATATTAAAAAAATACAGCAAAGGCTGGAAGAAAATAAGGTAAGTTTTGCAGATCAAAACTTGCATGGGCATTATTTGGTACACTGGTTCCAGAACTATCTTAGTCTGTAGTTCAGTTGATTCGAAGAAATGTTTCAAGGTCCACCCAAGCTATAAAAGTAATTTAAATGTGATTCGCAGGTTTCAAAAAAGTAAGTACTAATACATTTCATTGATGTGTATGAAGAACTTTTTCTGTTGTTATATTTATGTAACTGATATGTTTTTTTCTTAGCAGTTTATATGTATTACAAAAACTTCATGGCTCTTTGGGGGGGGGGGGGGGG